GTTAAGCAAAGTGCATCATAGTGTCAAGATGTCAAGAAAAATCAAACACCATTTTTAAATATTTCACTTTTTTTATATATATTGACTTGATATCATATTTGGTACCCTTCAACTCCATTATCGTAAATTAAATAGTTTTGCCAGATTTTTTTGGCCTTCCGTCCTTCCGTCTGGTAATTACATTACTGTTGCTGTAATAAAAATAACATTCTTAGAAAAAATACAAAAACGATTACGTTAGAGCCTTCAGTGAATCTTCAGTTTTAGTACTAGCCAAATCAGTTTTCATTTGGTCTCTCAATTTATAAGCATAATCGGAGTCGGCTTAATGTTCATTTTTTAACTGCTCAATTCCCGCAATGTCTCCCGCATATACTTGCTTTAAAGCGATCACAACAAAGGCATGTAACTTTCTGAGGTTTTCTGAATCTCAGGTAAAATTCTTTGAAAAAAATTTGCTTGAACTTTGAAATACCCACAGGATTTTCATGCTTGCCCTTATATAGGTCACAAACGGTTGAAAAATTTAGATTTGGAGCTAAATAACGTGCAGTCCTATCAACTCTACAATAATGCGATATGTACTTGGGTAAACCTTCAATTAATTGTCTTATTTGATAAATTTTTTGTTCCGAAATAGAATTTCTTCCTCCCGATTTCGTACTCCTTTGATCATTTATCGGAGCTTGTGATTTAAATTTTTTAAAGCAACATCAACTCGCGATTCGTAGTAAGTAATTTCTAGAAAATACTCAAATTGTTTAGAGGTAACAAGTTTTCCTGACACGCTAATATAGTTTTCATTGTTATTAGTTTTTTTGTAATATCTCTGTTTTGGTCTATATATTTTCTTTTTCATCCTCATCTGGGTATCCCTTGCTGTCGATTAGCTACATTTTCCGTTTCGTTACTCATTACCTCTGAATAATTTGAATCTTCTAGAGTAGCGCATTGAACTCCTTGTAGGACAGTTTTTCAATATTCTCTTCTAACGTCGTGGGCTCTAATACTAATGTTGTTTTTTCTACGGTTCGTACGTGTTCAAAAGCATTGTTGCTCGAGCATAGTTCAATTGTTCTTATATCACATTCATCCACGTTATGATCCAAGGTACTTGGTTCTTCTGTGTATGAAATGATAAGGTAAGTTTGGCTACTTGTATTCGCAGGATTTATGATAATATCATGAGGCTCTGGAATATGGGATTTTTCCTGGTCGCAGACCTCAATAACTGGAGCATCAATGTCAATGTCCGATAATAATCCAGTACACCTGGTCCAATACTCAAGTGACTGTTGAAAGTCCTGATCTGTTATATCGATAACTGGAAGTAAGATATCCATATCCACTAAGGATTGTCTTGAAATATCATGATTTGGAACAACTTAAATTTTTTTCTCATTTGCCAAAAACGTCCTCTTGGGTAAATTTACCTTTTGTGTTATGAGATCCACGAGGTTGTGACCGCTTGAACTTAAAGAAAAGTAATACATGAAATAACGTTACTATTTTATTTTACTCATTTTTACAAAAAAATAAAATCCACTAATCCATCAAACGATCAAATATATCAATGTATATAAATATTAATGGAATTTTGTTATAATGAGTCAAAATATTTGAACGCTTTTCAAGAAATCTAAGTCATAATTGTGACAGACTGATGTATTTTGCAATAATCGATTAAGTCTGTTACAATCTATGACCGCTTGAATAAACATCAATTATGTAATATAGCAATAACATGTTAAGTGAAACTGTTAATATTATTGATCCATTTAATCGAAATATTATCAATATATTATGATATTCCACAATTAACATTAATAAATTACGTTTACAAACACACTCAAAAATGTGTTTAATAACTAAATGAAAACATTTTTGTATAATTTAAACTTGAATCTGACCTCGAAAGCGGTTTGATAAAAGTTAGAAAATACGCAAAATCTTAACTCACCTTTAATGTATTTACTTAAATTCTACTTCAAACTTCTTTTTCTAACAGTTTTTGATCCTATAACGATGATTTATCCTTTAGATTATTATTTTAACCCTCCAACAGTTTTTGCAACATGCCTAGACTGAATAATCGAATTATACAATAATGTATCAAGCCTCATGACTCATTTTTCTTAACACAGACCGCGATTTTGAGTAAACGTATATGTGTTAAGGAACATGACGCAATATTGTTCATTATCCTATGGAAGATATTGTAAACGAGTCAACAGTTTTTGTTAAATTTTTAGTATTAGAATGGTTTGAATAACTTAGCATTCTCTTGATAAACGTAGTTTATTACCTAAGGAAGCGGATGGTAGTAATATCTCGATTTTTGTCAATTTGTGGGTTGACACAGTATTGCATAACACTGTCCAATTAATAATCCAAGTATTTTCAATAAAATAACAGTTTTGTTTCTGAGTCTACCTACGCGCCAACATAACAAACATTTAACCAAATATTCGATGTTCTAAGGCAGCACATATATGGAATAGTATACTATTACATTTTTTTACCAATAATTTGAAGAAGCATGAACCACTACACTATCTTGGTGTAGTGGTTCGTGTTCTTGATTACAAAGCCGTGTGCACGAACATGTAGGTTTGTATCGATCCAGGTGTTTTATATGTATTTTGAGTATTTATTTTATCTTTTAAGTCTTGAAATCAGTCAAAATGTATGTTTTTTTTTGATCCATCGAGCAGGATTTATCAGTGAAATATAGCTAAATGAATGAATTTGCTCTAGACTACAACACTTACGTGTGGCAGCATCTTCAGTTTTTGTAGGGAAGTTTGGTAGACCCTTAGCGTAGTCTGGAGGTGGTGGCGATGAAGGTGCAGCGGGCGCTGGCTTTTTCGCGCCTTCTTCCATTTCTATACAAAACAATTACAATTAATTTGCATATTATTACTAGAGTATGGTAAAGTGGATAGTGTCATTTCATTTACGAATTAAAAAACAGTCCATATCGCTATCCAAAAATGTAAAGAACAAAATCTGATAAATAGAAGTACAAAATATTTTATAGTTGAAATTTTTACAAATCGACTGATTTTATATTATTGTGCTTTTGTTTAGTTTTTCTTCATAAACACGAAATTACACAGTATAAGAATACAAATACACACAAAAGGCGGCCTCGTTGCTAAACAGTAATCTATTCCAGGCAACCTATGGAGGAAAATAATAAAAGGAAAGGGAAAATTTCATATATTTGTCGTAAGTAATTAAAGTAGGCTGATCAAGATCTGCTGGGCAGAACGGCGTTTTGATTCGTTTGATGATTTGCATGGCCAAATTTGGGCAAATCAATTGTAGGGTCACTATGGCTAAAGAACTTCATTAATAGTCAATTTAAAAAATACACGCCTAACAGGCTTAATATAGGCCTAACACATTTCAAGTACAGAAACAAATAATATATACTTAATGAAAATTGCTTGAAAAGTCCACTTGGCCCAGGTTCTCTGTAATGGGACTCGAACCCACAATAAACATAGATGAAAATACGTTCATTAGTAGCGAAAAATAACGTGTTCGAAAGATTAGTCAGCCCTGTTAGGTCTTGTGCAACTCAGTGGCTAGAGTAGACGCCCAGATTGCGAAAGGTCGTGGGTTCAAGTATCATCTCAGAGTGCCAGAGGCAAAGTGGATTTTTAAGCATTTCTCACTAAGAATATTTTTCAGTTTAGCATTGTGAATGCAAAATGATCAAATATAAAGTGTAATATTAGTATGTGCCAGGACAAAAAATAATCTGTTTCATACTGTTGGGGACTGTAGGTATTACAATTTTGTATGAAACAGCTGATTATTTTTTCGTGAATTCAGTGTTGCTCCCATAGTGAAAGTTATTTAGTATATTTAACTGATCCACCCCACGAAGTCCTGACATATAATATAACACCTCATATAATAAATAATGTATACTTACCCAACTTCCTCCTCTTTTTGATCTGTGCGTGTGTTGCCGGTTGTTCAGTGATGTCAAGTAGCTTAATGCCGGCGCGGGGGGCGGGGCGGGGCGGAACCCCACCTGGACGGGGCCCCCCACCCACACGGCCGGCGAAACGAGACGGAAGACCCTTCAGTGGTGCTGAACACATATTGTTACATTTAATTTATTGGAAGTCTTATCTACTTGTTATTAGCAAAAATATAATAGTGCCGGTAATGAAAAGTAAGTCGGGAAATTACACAAAATCGAAAATTTACATTAAAATTATTTTTGATTTTGAATCATAAAATAGTAAGTTGTCATTATAAATAGAGTTGTAAGAACTGACGATAGAACTCGACTGATAATGACTGATAAAGGTATATTCATAGTCGTTACCATATTTATTTATTTTTATTGTGCAGTAAGATCGTTAGATGACACTGTTCTTGTCTGTCCAACAGACTTTTCACCTTTTTAATATGTAATCTGTTCTGTCGCAGCTGTTTGGCGTTCATATCGAGAAGATTACATAAATATGGCCAACAATGTTTTAGCAGGTTTAAAAATACATAAATATTATGTAATTAAATTTTGCAATTATAAAACATGTTCATAGTTCCAAAAAAATGTTAGTAGCTTATTTAAATTATAAAAAGCAGTTCCAAGTACTTTATTAAAAGAATAAAATACCCCACTGGAATTATGAATAAACAGAGTTGCAGCAAGCAATTGCTATGGTTAGAATGTAATTAGTAAGCCTTTTTAGATGGAGTGTTCAGTAAATTCAGTGTCGAGCATTTTTTAATGTATTTTCATAAAGGTAGGAAGGGCAGAAGTATCTTTAACGCATTCCTCCCCTCTATCGACAGCCATCCCTACATTGAACGGCCTCACGGTCATAGAAGGGACTCCCAATGTAACCGAGCCTCTCCAGCCACAAGGAATGACCAAGGGTTCTGTTAATGGAGGGCGACACGATCACGGCTTCCCAGATCTTATTCCTTAGCAGAGGACCTACACCCCATTGTCGTTCGCCAAACAGCAAGGGCTGTGCTTAAAGCATTTTGTCCTGCCCATAAAAAAGCCTTATTTTAATAATTTAAGTCCACCTACTGGTATCTGTCATTTTCCTAGGCATGCCGCGGCTGCGTACAGGCACAGTAGGCGCCTGCGCCTTCTTTTGGTTAGCCTGAGCTTCAGTAGCCTTTGCAAGTAATTCACTACGTAAGGCCACAGACTTTGGTTTCCGTTTCAAAGTAAAATGTTTCACTGCGTTGGGTTGTTGGCCAACCTGTAGAGAAACATATATGAATATTTACTATTTTAAGACTGTGCAATAATAAGAGAGACCTAACAATATCCTTAACATTTAAAGTTCAGCATCAGAGTAAATTTATGCTAAAATTACAATTTTAGTATTAGTCCAAATTCATATTATACAGAGAATAACCAAACTTACTACTGTGATAGAGAATATATGGAGTTGTACAACTTTTGAAATCACTATCGTTTTTGGAACAAATGATGACTTGAATGATCAAGAAACATATAAAAAATGTAGTTAAACCTGTTGGAAGATTACAGTTAGCATACCATGAATCGATGATATTGACATTTTGTAAAGCTTTCAAAAATATTTGTATCTAATGCTTGCCTTAAATCCCTATTTAAATTTAATTAGTGATATTGTTAATTCAATATATTTCCAAAAAAGGTCACCATTACAATAACTTTCAAATGTCAAATAGTTGTAATGTGGAGGTGGATTATAATAGATTTTAAAATTAGACAATTAGAAAAATTAGCTCCAAAATCACCAGTTTCTTATTTGCTTATTCATTGTTTTAGAACAAATCATTTTTAAGAAACAAACATTATAAATTAAATTTTATTTTAATCTGCTCACTCTCAGCACAATAAACTCAATGGTAATTTTGTAATTATCTTACTTTTTGAAGTGGTTTTATAACACTTAAATAATTAAACTTTATTATCATTCATATTGTAAATAGATTTTTGGAAATTCATAATAGGGGATTGACAACTTTCAAAAATTTTAGGCAAATAAGCCATATTATGTAGGTAAATAACACTTTTGAGTAACTCACAACTATGTTTAAAATTTAACTGTTTAAAAAACTACATAAACTGTTACGCTGATGAGATGTCATTTGTGGTGGCAACTGCTGTTGGGTTGTGCTGTTTTTATATTCAAACTCACAAACAACTTATTAAAAATTCAGTATTCCATAAAAATCATTTTACACTTTGAATGTTTCCTGCATTTTTCCTAGATAGTTTTACTGCTAATTTACCCATAAATGATGTTTTGCACTCTGATTGGTGTTTTGTTTGACATAAAACACAAACTACAATATTGAAAAAATATTTATTTGTTTATTGATTTGAAAATATAAATCATTGTTATTTAGCAAAAATCTTTAATGATCATATTTAAACTTTATGAACTTTTTAAGCACACACATTTAGATTTTTAATCTAATTGTTTTCCAATTTCCTATTGTACCACATTGTATTTTGCTGACTTAAAACTTAAATTTTGTATTACTTAAAACAGTTTTAAAAAGTTTTTAATATAGATTTTTATAAAAATTAATTATCTTCAACGTTGATTAGTGATAAATACTCAATCAAACTATTTTAAAAATTATATTTGATTAAAATTAAACTTACCACAGAAACTAAAGCATTTTTATTTAAATATAGGCACTCAAGAGGCAACAGTCCAAGGTCTGAATGTTTAGCTAAGGCTCTTCTCAGTTCCCCTATCATGTCACTGAAGATAGGCCTGGTCTCATCAAACTCTGCTATCTCAGTATTGAGAGTGCCTTGCGATGGAAACGTCTTGAGCACCTCTGCAAGCATAGCCACCCAAAGATCTGAGTCCACTGCTGCAACTTCAATAATTTCTTCAAGCTCATTTCTCCACTGTAAAATGCAAACAAACTATATAAACACTTAAGTTAACCCACTACCAATTGTTATTGAAAAAATAACTATTACAATTTTTTAAAAAGACAATATTGTACTTTATATTGCAAACGCTATACTATAACTAACATACAAAATATTTGTCAAAGAAAATTGATTTTGATTATTTATGTGATGATCATTTTACAGTTTAAATGAACAAGATATACATAAGAAACTTAGCAGTTAATATTATAATTAAATTTTGTCAATAAAAACATTGTATGTTTTTTTTTTTTTTGTTTTACAATTAATTTTATTACAATATAACAATTTATATCTTTGCATAAGCTACCCTGAAAGATTGACAAAATGTTTAGTTAAGTATATATTAGCAATTATATTAAAGAATCCTAGTGTTGAAATTCAGTTTATTAGAAATGAGGTTATCTTAATATGTATACATGTCATATTATGAGTTGAGGAGTAATTAGTATAAAAATAGCACGTGGAAAACATACTATTATTATTAATGATATTATTTCTTTGGATAGTAAAATAACGAAAATGCAATGCATAAAATTGTAAAATGTCAAATGCAGGTTATTTATTCGCTGTCAAAACATTCTTATATCAGATATTGGTAATTTTGTTAGATTGTTTACTATTTACACGTAATTTCAAATCATAAAACCATTGCAACATATTATTTGTAATGGAAAACACAACAAATGAAACTATTCCATACATATCAATCACACCTCTCTTTTCAATGAGCCTCTTTTTGAATGCGTTAGAACGAGATAATGTAACCAAAACAGTTACGCAAAACCATAGAACATCAAAGAGAAAAGTTACCTCTTCAACATTTCTGCGCGGGATATGAAAGAAACTTAACAATAATTTGAGTTTGACTTGCGTTTGCAAATCTGGAAAACAATCCTTGATATTCTTCAAAACTTCAGCGTTCAATTGTGTACAAATTGACCCGGTTGTCCACGAATCGTTCGAAGTACCGAGTTTATTGTGGAGCCACAAAGATGTGTCACTATCCCGCACGTTCGCCATCTTGTAACTGAGACCTAGTGCTGTATCCCATTAGCCATGTGGTTTATTTTAATTGAACTGTTCAAATGAACAGAATCGAATTTTATTTCACATTGCGTCAGTTTATTATATTTCGGATTTTGATTTCTATATATATTCTATTACAATTTATAATTACTGGAAAATAATCTTACAAAGGAAGTTTTCAGTGTACCAATATTTTTGTTTTAATATCGTCAATTGAACATATTTCGTTTTAAGTACAGTCAACAACACGTCAGAGTATTCATATATGTTAAATTTTTCACTTAACTTTAAGCGTTAACGTTTACAATGTAGCGTTTAAAATCAATTAAAGTAAATTTACATATTATAGTGGTAACCTGACGCGCAACCTTATATACATAACAACATTTATGTTGATTTCGAAAATATTTTTAAACATTTCCTCATAAATTAAAAACTGTTTAGTTTTTGAATTTCAATTCTCAATTGTAGAAATTTCTCATTTATATAATATTTTTAGTATACTTTTTCATACACTTTTGCACTCCATAATTAATCTGATTATATAATCTAATTCATAAATAAATTAGCATGAAATTATTAGTCCAAGTACTATGAAATGGGTATTATGCATTCTTACGAAGAATTCCCAAAATATTGTTATAATAATAATTACATTTACTTTGTTAATTTATTGCATGAATTGTAGGAAAAGAATCAATTTATATATAATGTTTGATATATATGAAAAGTAAAAAAAAAAAAATGTGAAAAATATAACACTTACTTTATATTAACGATAACAAAGCAAAGGATATTTTATTAATTATAACCAAAAGTAACAATGAAATGAGAGTCATTAGATATATTAATCATTAGATATATATAAGATATATTAGTCATTATATTAGATTATGTTTACTATTCTGAAAATCATAATGTTAGTTGCTATTTTAGTTAATCATAATAAGTAACATCAAAACTTTACAATAACAATCGAAACCAACAAAAATTATGTGTAATCGTATCACATTACACAACCCAACTCAATAAGTGTACTTACTCGTCAACCATTGTTTATTTGTTAATGGTACTGATTTTTGAAAATGGCAGCCGGTGCATTAGCGTTTTGCGGGGATTATTACGAGTATTTATTTTAAAGAAAATCAAGATATTTTATGTTAATTTATTTAAAAAATAATTATAAAGTGACGATTTATATGGGGCCTACCACAATGTATATTGAATGAATTTATATGGTATGTATATCATTTTTATAAACAGACACGACATGTTGCAGCAACATGGTGAGAATATGAAATGTTAACATTACGTTTTTTCTACTTTTACTTTACTTTTACAAAAAGTTGTCATTATTTAACTATATTGATTATCGACTAAATCAGTTGATGTTTATCGAATAAATATCTAATTTTGACTACATCACTGTTTATATTCATTCAGTACAGTACTAATAGTTTCGTCCATGGGATAGGCGAAAGAACTAAGTCATAGTGCCAAATCTTGAGTCTATGACAATTTTTGAATTCAATAACCTATCTACCCTTTTTTATTGTAATATCATTGGGCAGGGCTATTTATGATCAACCATACATATATTTTAATGCATCTTGAAATAAATAGCAATATATCCAAAAACTTCTAAAATGCTTCTAAACTGCAATTTTTTTTTAAACATATAATAAACTTTATATATTTTAAATACAGTTACCTCAATGATTCTTCTAATATTAGTTGAAGTAGATTAAAATATTAGCATACCTGAATTTATACGGTTTATTTAACTAAAAACTTACAATTTACTGAAAAGGATAATACCATTACGTTCTCCCCTTCCTAATTTTACACCTTCGTTTTACACATGATCGTGTAAATAACTTGGTGCTCGTCATTCTCTCATTGAGCGGCGCGGCCAATCATCATCGTAATGTGATTCATTATGTTCAAAGTTGGATTCGATAGATTGCAACAGGTTCAGCAGGCTTTTCGATTTGGTCTTATTCGGGTCGAATTGGTGACGGTGAATTATTATCAGCCTCATAACGAAGCTCTGTTTGAACCGGCTCTATAGGAGAAGCTAAATGTCGAATCGACACCACCACGTTTCTACCATTCGATAGACGGACATGTGAATGAAATGGGCTTACTTTCAAATACTCGACGTCGTCAACGATCGGATCATATTTCGTTGATTTACAATGGTTCTTGAGAAGAGCCTTTCCTCCTTCCGCTAACCATGTTGGCATGAATTGACCATGCGACGATCTCCTCGCACGTAAAAACATTCTTTTGTGTGGTATGCTACCAGTGGATGTGCAGAGAATGATCTTATTACATATAAGGATTGAATTAATACGCTTTCCCAAGCAGTGATTTGTAGATCTTGGGTCTTTAAAGCTAACTGAATTGCTTTCTATATTGTGCCATTGTATCCCTCCGCTTGATCGTTACCCTGCAGTTATACAGTGTAGTGTAGCTGTAGCTAGAGTACGCGAAAAAAAAGCAACAGGTCTGCTATCTTGCGATAAAATCGCAGCTATCGTGTAATCTGATGCATTAGTTTCTACGGTTAGTGGGATTTTGTCATCCATAATATTAATGGTTGCTTTTGCTATTTCTGATTTAATACAGTTGAATGCTTTGACTGCTTCATTCGACAAAGGATATAACTAAACATTCTTCGAGTGGGTGGATTTTCAAGAAAAAGTTCAAAATCCATCCAGCATAGTGTGCAAATATTCCCAAAATCCGCTTAAAGGAACTTGAATAGTTAGGAACAGGTAGTTGTAAAAGGGATTATAACCGTTCACGGTCGGGTTTTATAACCCCTTTGCAAATGTTATGATCTAATAAGTTAATCTCCGTTATTGAGAACTCACTTTTCGCAGTGTTAATCATCAAATTATATTTTGAAGCGATTTCATTGAATTTATGATCAGCTTGATTTATGCCACAAATAGTATCATCTAAATATGCGAAAATACTTAAATAATATGCCACGAGATAAACAGGTAATTACCGCAGCAGGGCAGTTTCACCGTAAATATCGTTTGCAGCCTCAGAAATAACACGTTTCTTGATGTGATGATGGTACGTTACGGTTACGGTGTACTTGTGCAAGTTCTAAAGATTCCGCTTGTTCGTAGATAGTATCTAAGGTAAAATTCCTATTTCCGAGGAATCTTCGTCGAATATCAGAGCTCTTCCGACCACTTTTGAATGTATCTCTTTTTGCTCAGCAGTAACATTTTTGAAATTACATTCTTTAGATAGTATTTTCAGAGCTTGTAGATATTGTAAGATCTTCTTATGAGACGATGTCTGGAATTGACGGGTTTGATAAAAAGTCCTTCTAGTTTCTGTATAACAGTTTCGTACTTTTCGCATTCATTTATACCACTGTAGGAACCGTAATGGTGAAGGTGTGGGCCTACTGGATGATGGAGACAACTGGCAAGGGAGGCTAAAGGGTAATTGTCTCTCGTAGAGCTAGGTGTTGTTAGCCCTGGAATCGCGCGGGAATTTATAAGTAGTTGGTGCCATCGATTACCATCTGTCGAGATGACATTGAGAAAAACCAGAGGAGACAGATCGCTGTCAGATATAGGATCTTCACTGAACCGTTCAGGATGAAAATATTTGTCCATTTTTTAGTTAAATAAATTGAAGTAGATTAAAATATTAACATCTTAGAATTTATAGGGATCAACCCTAGAAATTCTAAGATGTTAATATTAACTAAAAACTTACATAACTCTGAATGACCCAATTACGAATGAATAAATATAATAATAGACAACTTACTTAAAATGATAATATCATCACATTAATGTTGTAAATTTTTGAAAGAAACATTTAACGCAAAGGATAATTTAAAATTAATGAACAAGAATATCATATTCATAACTGTATGTACTAGATCCCTTTGCTATATAGATGTAGCCATGAAGATAAAGTAAAAGAACTTCATAGATGTAGCGCCCGCCCAAGTCATAGACATAAAAGAAGAGGACCGGCCATACCTACGAAAAAAGCGTATATGCCTAAACTTCAAATGCAAATTTTTCGATGGCGGATTGTCATAGGGTGTGACCCAAGATATCGATATTTGTATCGACATTGAAGTCATATTAAATAAAAGTTAGTATTTCGTGAAACTGCTACAATACTACTACTTATTAAATATATCTATTCTATAATATATAAAGCTTAATTACCACTCACTGACTGACTGACTCACTCCATGCTTTTTTCGGGTAGTTAAAGTAGGAAAATGACATTTTCATGTATGGAGACTGACTATATTTTTTTTAAATGAGTTGAAGTACCATATCGGTACAGCCAAAAAACAAAATGGCGGCGAGATAATTTTTTCAATTTCTACAGTATTCACTCTACGGTTACCATATTCAAAATGGTTGTAGAGTGGGCTAAAAAAATGGCAATGAAAAAAGGTTTGTTAAAAAAAACAAAATGGCGGCCGAGATATTTTACCTCGAAAATTGACATTTTTCGACCTCTGTTCGGGCGATTGTCATTTCTTTTTTTGTGGGTCCGGAGGGGGGATTTTTGCTCCTTCAGCTCGGAAGTATAGTCAATTTTCACGTAGAGGGAGTTTTCATTTGCGCTTCAACATGGCGGCGGCGGGGGCGGCCATTTTGTTTCGGCAATGAAAAATCGCCATTTTCCAGTGAGATTTTCTCCAAGATGGCGGCAATGTACTGGTTTTCTTTATATGGGGCGGTCGTGGGGCTCGGTAGGATCTTTCCATATTAGTACTAATTTCTACCATTTTCGTGGTAGTTTATGAGATTTTGGGAGAAAAGTGAAATTTCGAAATACGCACTTTTCTCAGAAAACAGACTCGATGCGGTGTGGCGCCGGGGGAGCCCTATGACTTTTGGTAGTTTTCGTTTCTGCGAGCTGACAACCCTGGACTCCACGGTAGAAAACATTTTTTTCGACATGCCCTCATAACCCGAATTGTTTGGGAACCTGGGTGGCCAGCGGAGAAAATCTGTGAATGAGGTCCCTTGCCTGATATAGTCGTGACTATGGGAAAATTATGAAACTCGGGAAAATCAATATGGCGGCGCCGGCAGCGGCCATTTTGTGATTTTTTCACTTTTTCGAAAAATTCAAACGCACTTTTAGCTCATTTGGCAACATTGGAGCTCTTCGCTTTGTATAGACCGGTCGTGAGTCTCCGCTGGCTCTTTCGAATGACGTGAAATTTTTCCCTGATTTTTGGGTAATTTCGGAGATTTACCCCAAAAAGGTGAAAAGTAGAAGGAGCCATTTGGGAATTTCATAAATGCTTTTCCTCGACGGAGGGTACTCCCCGAAATGACATTTGACCATTTTCATCGTCATCACCTGGCAACCCTGGTGGTTGCGGCGATTTGAAAAATTTTGCCCATTTTTTACTTTGTCGACTCTAGCGCAGTCGGTATTGCCACTAGGAAAATGGTAAAAAGTGCATCGGATGCGCTATCGAGTTAGCCACACCGGTACGGAGCCGGATTTTCAAAATTAAAGATGGCGGCCAAACCAGCGGCCATTTTATCCGAAAAATTGGGTATCGTCACCACGTCGAGCCGATTTTGACGCACTTGGCGACATTTGTCAGACTACTTCCAGGGAAACAATTTTTAGGCAAGTAGCTGAGGTGTTGCCAGGTGAAAAAAAATCTTGAAAATTTTTGATACTTTATGAGATTTTTGGGGGAAACACTTTTTGTCGAATTTTGAATTTTTTTCGATGCAAATATTTTAATTTTAACTTTTCAAGATACCCGATGGAAAAAATAGAACGATCGACTGGCAACACTGAGAGCAAACAACGTTTGAAATTCAACCTTGATTTTGACCGACTTGGCAACCCCGCAGGTATTTGGCGTGTATGGAGCGATTGTGCATCTCTATAGACTCTTTCGTATCGTGGAAAAATTTTACCCGATTTTAGGGTATTTTTTGAGATTTACCCCAAAAACTGTAACTGTCAAAGGAACAATTTTAGAACTTGAAAATTGGCATCCGTCGATGGAGGGCGCATCCCGAATTCACATTTGACTGTTTTCATCGTCTACACCTGGCAACCCCGGCAGGTACGGTGGGTTGAAGATTTAATGCCCACTGTTCACGTTTTGGACTCTAGCTCAGTCACTATCGCCGCTAGGAAAATAATAGAATCTGCGTTGGATGCGCCAATAGATGGGCTACATGGGTCTGAGGTTGAAATTTCAAAATTCAAGCAAAGAAACAATTTTTGAATTTGAAATTAGAATCAGTCGATGGAGGGCGTTCCCAGTAATCATATTTGACCTTTTTCATTGCCGTTGCTTGCCATCATTTTCATTATCGCTACCTACCATTTTACATGGCATCACTGTGAAAAGTCTTTAATAATTTCTTTGTATGGAGAGAGAAATTGAATGCATTGTAGTTAGTAAGAACTTGCAAATTTGCATTTGTCAATGGAGGGTGCTCTACAATATACCTGTTATGATTTTTATCATCGTTACCTACCGCACAACTTTGAATGAATATTCAAATCCAATAGTTCACATTGTGAAATGCAATGTAGTGATATTTTTATACAACGCTATGTGTGCATCATTTAAAATTTCAATCAGTTATCAAGTACAACTTTTAAGCAATTTAAATTGATAATAATTTAACAAAAAAGTCCCTAATATAAACTTATCATTATTATATAAAGCCTGCTTTTACTTTTAGACAAACACCAACTTTTAAACTATACTGAAATCATCATTATTATCAGATTACATTAATTAAAAACTAAATTGAATAGACATAATTTA